TTCTTTATCAAAAGTTTTTTTTACTGTATCAAGATTTTTGAATACAACTTTAATATTAAAAGTCTTAAGAAGAGAAGGCATATCAACCAAGTTTTCATGGTAAGGGAGAACCAACATATTTTTAGTTGAATAAGGCTGGTTGTCCCTTTTTGGATTGTAAAAAGTATTTCTAGCAACTTTAAAAGATTTATCAATTACATTTCTTGGGTATTTTAAATCATTACCTATTTCATAAATTTTGGATATTTCCTCATCTATGAACTCAGGACTACAAATTCGTAAAGCTCTCAAAAACATTGATGAGAAAACAGACAGTTTGACTCTATCTTGATGCGAGGAATAATAGTGGACATAGGAACAGTTATTTGTAGGTTTTCTGTAAATTTTAAATTTGAATTCATTATTACCTTTAATAATTAAAACATCTAGAAAAGGCAATGAGTTATTTTCTTCAAACTCAACAGTAAAGTTTATAGAATGGGCTAAGCTATTTAATTTTCCAAGGAAATGGTGTATATCTACATTTTTGGGCATAAGACACAAAATATCATCAACATATCTGAACTAGAAATACTTTTTACAATCCAAAAAGGGACAACCAGCCTTATTCAACTAAAAATATGTTGGTTCTCCCTTACCATGAAAACTTGGTTGATATGCCTTCTCTTCTTAAGACTTTTAATATTAAAGTTGTATTCAAAAATCTTGATACAGTAAAAAAACTTTTGATAAAGAATTCCCCCCAAAATGCTGATGGATGTGTCTATAAGATTCCTTGTAAAATTTGCGATAAAGTTTATTACGGTCAAACTGGTAAAAATCTCGAACTAAGATTAAAACAACATAAATATAGCATTAGAACTGGACAAGATTCCAATGCTCTATTTATTCATGTAAGAGATTTTAACCATCCAATTGATTTTCAAAAAGCTGAGAAAGTAGTATCAAGCAAGTCCATGGTCGACAGAAATATAATTGAATCTTGTTTCATAAAAAGCATTTATAATTAATAGAATTTGGGAAGAATTTAATAAAACACTGGACAAATAATAATTTTTAAATTTTCTTGGGTAGAATAGTTTGTGGGCGAGTTGTGCAAAGGACCTATCCAAGTTGGATCGGCGCGCGTCAGGTGTTTAACCGTTGTGGGATCTGATAGTGAGGTGCTGGCCAGACCCCTTATATAGCTTTCTTGGATGCTTTACTTTCATAGTTCCTTGATAATGTTAGTAGTCACGAAAGCGCTTGGAATTTCTCTATTCTTTCAGAGTGGTTGTTTTGCATATTCTGAAATCACCTGTTTACTGTGATCTTATTGCATATATACATATATATATAGTGGTCCCTCATTTATCGTAATTAATCCGTTCCTGGAGGTGTTACTATTATCGAAATCTACGATTTTCGAATCAATTTTCCCCATAAGAAATAATGTAAGTACAATTAATCCTTTCCTGACACCCAGAAGTATTACAACCAAAAAAATTTTTACATGAAATATAGATGTAGTACATAAACAATACAATGGGACATGATGAATGAAACATTAACAGCATAATGCTAACCTTTATTAGCGATTCTTCTTAGTGTATGGAAGACTGGAAGAGGAGAGAGATTGGATTATTTACAGTTTGGAAGTGAAATCCCCTTCCATCAACACCTCAGGTACCAACTGGTTTTCTGGGGTTACTTCTCTTCTCTGTTTCTTAACCCTTTGAGGGTTTTGGTCGTACTAGTACGTCTTACGCGTAGGGGTTTTTGACGTACTAGTAAAATCTAGTGGGAGAAAGCTGGTAGGCCTTCATATGAAAGAATGGGTCTATGTGGTCAGTGTGCACAGTCTAAAAAAAATCCTGGAGCACACAGTGCATAATGAGAAAAAAAAAACTTTGACCATTTTTTTTTAATAAATCAGCGACTTTGCAGTGTATTTTCGTATGGTATTTATTGTTGTATTCTAGTTTTCTTGGTCTCATTTTATAGAATGGAAGACATATTATAGAAATTGAGATGATTTTGACTGGTTTTACAATGAAAGGTGCCTTGAAATTGAGCTCAAAGTAGCAGAAATGTTCGATTTTTACCAAACTTCAAAAGTAAACAAATCGTGCCAAGCGTGCAATACAGGTCAACTGGTGAGTCTAATATTCTTTCACAAGTGCACCAATAATATTTATACCATTTTTTACACTAATGCAGTAGTCTGCATAACAGTAAATCTTATATTTTTTGTGAGAATAAAAATTCAAAGTGGAAAGCAAAAGAATATAAGAGGGGCCTTGAGACGTGACTAATGACTAGAGGAAATGTCATTTTAGTGCCAGGAATGTCTTTCTTGTTTATTCTGGACCCTATTCGGAAATTGGCATCCTTTGAAATTTGTGTGAAATTGGCAAAATTGCTAAATTCTGACCACTGTACTGGATAGTTGAATTTATAAATGGGTGGTTTTTTGCACCCATTCGATAGAAAAAATGGAGTTCTAGCGAAATATTCATGTTTTTTGTCGACTAGTACAGTGAAATTGGCCGAAAATGGGGCTCAAAGTGGGCAAAATCGCCGATGCGTAAACATCGCCGAGACCGATAACTTTGCGAGAGCATAATTCCGTAAGTTTTCTATCAAATTTCAAACTTTTGGTGTCTTTATGATCGGGAAAAGATTCTCTATATTTTCATAAGAGAAAATAATTTTTTTTTTTTTTTAAATTTGGCCGACCCTGAGAACGAGTTTCGGAGAGGGCCTGTCGACCCTCAAAGGGTTAATGCCACTAGGACCAGCTTGAGAGGCACTGGAGTCGTCTCACAAAATAACTGTCCAGAGAGCTCTGTTTCTGACGTCTCTTTAACACTTGCCTAAAATGGGCCAAGACTTTGTCACCGTACTTGTTGACAACATGGCTTGCAACAGCCTTGTCAGGGTTATGTTTCTCCATAAATCTTTCCATCTTACCCCACATTTCAAAAATCTCCTTAATTTCTGAAGAAGGCAACTTCTTCCATATCTCTTCCTCCTCCTCTGCAGCAAGATTCTGAGCTGCGATCTGTTGCTCTTCCTGCTGCAGCTCTTCAGTGGTGAGCTCTTCATTGTGGTCTTCCAATAACTCTTCCACATCCTCCAAACTCACATCCAACCCCATGGAACTCCTCAATGCCACAATAGATTTAACAACAGACATAGACTCATCAGGGTCAGCCCCAAACCCTTCAGAATCCCTCTTGTCGACACAATTTGGCCACAATTTTCTCCAAGCAGAGTTCAAAGTCCTGGTAGTCACTCCCTCCCATGCCGTACCTAAAAGGCTTATGCAATGGAGGGTGATGAAGTGTTCTCTCCAAAAATCTCTTAGGGTCAAGTGAGTGTCTGAAGTCACATTCAAGCACCTTTGAAACATTGCTTTTGTGTAGAGTTTTTTAAAGTTTGCAACGACCTGCTGGTCCATGGGCTGGAGGAGAGGAGTGGTATTGGGGGGCAAGAACTTTACTGTGATGAACCCAAACTCCTCAAAAATTAGGTCATCCAAGTTTGGAGGATGAGCAGGTGCATTGTCCATTACTAGCAGGCACTTGAGACCCAATTTTTTTTCCAGGAGGTAATTCTTCACTAGGGCCAAACACTTCATTGAACCACTCAACGAAAATGTCCCTCGTGACCCATGCCTTACTATTAGATTTCCAAAACACACACAATTTACTCTTCATAACATTGTTTTTCCTGAACACTTTGGGATTTTCAGAATGGTACACTATTAACGGCTTCACTTTGAAATCCCCATTAGCATTAGCACAGAACATGAGCGTCAGCATGTCTTTCAGAGGCTTGTGTCCTGGCATTGCCTTTTCCTCCTGAATAATGTAGGCCCTCTTTGGCATTTTCTTCCATAAGAGGCCTGTTTCGTTACAATTGAACACTTGTTCAGGTTTCAGTCCTTCAGCCTCTATGTACCCCATGTACGTTTCTTAAATCTCTCAAACCAACCTTTGCTGGCAATAAATTCACTCACACCACCACTATTTGCAGGCAATTTCTTTACCAGATCGTCGTACAACTGCCTAGCCTTTTCACAAATAATCGACGTCATAAGACTTTCTCCTGCTAATTGTTTCTCGTTTATCCACACCAATAATAACTTCTCAACCTCTTCGAGTACCGGTGATCTCATTTTTGTCAGCATATTTACCCCCTTTGCAACAACAGCGTCACTGAGTCGCATCCGGAGGGACAAGATTAAAGGACCCCAATGGAAATAAGACAGATTCCTCGATGACACACTGTATGAGGTTATCCTGGGTAGTTAACCCTCCTTCCTCTGGGTTAAAAATCACATACTTGTAATGCATGAGTTGTTTAATAAAATATTTAAAAAATATGTACAATATGTACAACTGCACCTAGGATAACCTAACAATCAAACACATACCCTCAAGACCATTAAAATTTTCATATGTTATGTACCCACCTAAATAAGACTTACTGATTAAAATTTTGAGTACCCGGCTGCCGGGAGAATAAAAAGTTCCATAATGTAATACTATTATACCAGAACCACCTTCTTTATCATCAAACTTTCAGACTAACACTGAGTCAGGATAGTTAATTCTCAGGTCATACAAATGATTGGCCCTAAAACACAACTGATCTGTTGTAACAATATAAATTATTCCTAAATAATGCAGGTTTATTGATAACATATACGACGAGACAGCTGGGAATGACAACCAAAATGGCGGCGGCGTCGGTGACGGCAACCTTCATTATTTTGACAATATATGAGGGAGGGAGGATGTATGTACACTTAAGTTAGTGTTGGTACGTTAGTATGGACACTAATACATCCTTTATATCGTAACAAGATTGGGAGTAGCTTTTACCACAGCCACAGTGATAACATCACTGTAAAGTTACAATGATTCTATCAACAATCTAATATATTTTGTTTTCTAAAAATAAAAAATGGCAACATTTATCATAAAACTTTGATTCTTGACATTCCTAATTACCTGAAGTATCAGCGTGTTGAGGAGGAAACTTGGCAAGAGTTAACTTGATGAAGTTAATATTAAGTTGTGGTGAGAGAGATGAGTGAGCGTCACAGACCAGCCCAGCGTGTTGATGTTATTAAGGGTTAATACAACTCAACATGTGTATATCTCTGTGTATATCTCTCTGTCTATCTCTTTCTCTCTGTCTATTTACCTATCTGTATATCTCTCTGTCTATCTCTCTCTCTATTAATCTCTATCTATCTCTGCCTATCTGTATCTCTCTATCTCTATCTATATATCTCCATCTCTATCTCTCGCAGGGTTTGACAAGGTTAGGTTAAGGATCCATAGCTTTATTGACAAGCTAAGAGCTGTTGCCTACATCAGCTCATTTGAAAGCATTTTTATTGTTATGAGATATACAAGTAGGGAACAGGATGGAGTTGGAGCCATCTGTGGGCCAGCATTTTCATTTGATCAACTAACTATCTCGTTGACATCATTATGCTGTACGAATGTGTTCCATACTCGAGTCATCCTGGGTATATATGATCTCAGATGGAGTGATGTTCTGGAGAATGGTACAGCCAGAGTGAAGTTGCTGCTTTCTGCCCGTCTTGTGGTATAGAAGCTTGTTTCACGTTGTCTTCGAAGTGGATCCAAGTGTGGTACTTTGACAATATTGGCCTTGTACATAACAGTAAGGCCACCCACATCCCTCCTGTGTTGAAGGCTCTGCTGAAATGACAGATCTATCCAGGATGGGCCAGGCGAGAGTGGAGTCTTGCTCTGGTCTCTACTCTATAAAGCTGTTGCGATGAGACGGGGGGGCAGGAAAACCAAAGAAAGTAAAGCTATCAAGGGTGAGCGCTTGGCCTCTACAGACATGCAACCCCTGCTGTCAAGAGAGCGGATACGGCGAAGTGTGTAAGCTTCCTGGCTCCCTTTGTTTGCAAGTTTTAAAAACATGGTTTTTCATGGTCAGTATGGAGTAAAATTTTCATTAAAGGGATATAACTTCTTGCCAGGAACCATACCCCCATTAAAGCTTACTACTGCCCGGCATTCACCATGGCGATAGGACACAATCTCATTTGCGTTTTCTCAGGTGCAAATGTTCTTCCCATCTGTTTCCTTTTAGCTGGTGATTGATTTTTGCTTAGCAGCTGGTTTTTCTTTTGGAAAGTGAATGTCGTGTACAATCGTTGCTATGCATGGGATTTGGGATGGATGAAGATCATTGAATAGACATTCCATAAAAATGGTCCTAGCTGCTTCCTTGGGGAAAACACTTGCCCAGTAGGATGTTTTGCTGATTCCGTTCGCAAAAAATCTTAAAATCTCGACGGTAATACATAAAAACTTTTTGACAAGAGAAAAAGAATTGGCATAAAAGTGGGCAGGGCGTGCTCTCACTCTAGACCAGATTTTGTGACGGCCCCCCGCACAACCTGCATCACGGTACAATGGTGTGTAGTAAAAATTTGGTAAATTATCCGCATTTTTTACATAAAAGGACACATTTTGAACTAGTAGAACATTTTGTGGCCCTTTACTCTCTGGCAGCTTTGTCAAAGAGTAAGGTTTGGGGAAAAAAGCTGCACAAAGGGAAACCATTCCCAATTAAAATTAGAATAGTTCCCCACGAATCCTTTTGACAGCTAAAAAAATGGAACTGGTGTTTGGAGCTCCCCTCTTTCACCCCCAACCAAAAATATTAACTTGGAAAAGGAAAAAAATTATTATTGGCACAACTTAGTATTAGTGCTACAAAAGGCAAAGCAAGATTTTAAATTTGGAACGACAATGTTGTGAGAAGCAGTAAAAAATATCTACACTTTTTGCTCCTCTTTTTTTATGAAGTGCCCTTTTTACATTAAAAGTCCTTTACCTGGGGGTTTACCTGGGGAGTGTTCCGGGGGTCAACGCCCCCGGACCCGGGGGTGTGACCAGGCCTCCTGGGGATCAGAGCCTGATCAACCAGGTTTACTGCTGGCTGACGCAAACCAAGTTTCGAGCCACAGCCCCGGTGGGCAGGAACCGATTTAGGTGCTTTTTCCAGTGCAGCTTGAAAACTGCCAGGGGTCTGTTGGAATCCCCTTATGTATGTTGGGAGGCAGTTGAACAGTTCGGGCCCCCGACACTTATTACGGTCTTTAAGTGCTAGTGACACCCCTGCTTTTCATTGGGGGGATGTTGCATTTGGGAATCTTTCCCCCTGGCTATTCTCATTATGTCGGTCTGGGGCTCCACGCATACATGTCTGAACCTCAATTATGTTGTGATCTGAGAATATTGTTTTTGATATAGTGACATTTCTTATCAGATCATCATTGTTAGTGAAGATGAGGTCTAGTGTATTCTCCAGTCTAGTAGGCTCTATTATTTGCTGGTTTAAATTGAATTTTGTGCAGAGATGATAAAAGCTCGTTGGAGTGTGAGTTTTCATCAGAGCTGCCTCCTGGTGTTATTACTGCAACAATATTATTTGCTATATTCCTCCATTTTAGGTGCCTTAAGTTGAAATCCCCCAGGAGCAAGATGTTGGGTGCAAGAGCTGGAAGATTTTCCAGACAGTGGTCAATTTTTAACAGCTGTTCCTGGAATTGCTGGGATGTTGCATCCGGAGGCTTGTAGACTACCACAATGACTAGGTTTTGGTTCTCGATCTTTACTGCTAAAACTTCCACTACATCATTTGAGGCATTAAGCAGTTCTGTGCAAACAAGTGACTGCAATGTACAGGCCAACCCCCCCCCCTTTTTTTTGCCTGTTCACTCTGTCACATCTGTATAGGTTGTAACCTGGGATCTATATTTCGTTGTCCAAGTGATCCTTTATGTGGGTCTCAGTGAAAGCCGCGAACATTGCCTTTGCCTCTGGAGTTTACCTGGAGTTTACCTGGAGAGAGTTTCGGGGGTCAACGCCCCCGCGGCCCGGTCCGTGACCAGGCCTCCTGGTGGATCAGCGCCTGATCAACCAGGCTGTTGCTGCTGGCTGCACGCAAACCAACGTACGAGCCACAGCCCGGCTGATCAGGAACTGACTTTAGGTGCTTGTCCAGTGCCAGCTTGAAGACTGCCAGGGGTCTGTTGGTAATCCCCCTTATGTGTGCTGGGAGGCAGTTGAACAGTCTCGGGCCCCTGACACTTATTGTATGGTCTCTTAACGTGCTAGTGACACCCCTGCTTTTCATTGGGGGGATGGTGCATCGTCTGCCAAGTCTTTTGCTTTCGTAGTGAGTGATTTTCGTGTGCAAGTTCGGTACTAGTCCCTCTAGGATTTTCCAGGTGTATATAATCATGTATCTCTCCCTCCTGCGTTCCAGGGAATACAGGTTTAGAAACCTCAAGCGCTCCCAGTAATTGAGGTGTTTTATCTCCGTTATGCGCGCCGTGAAAGTTCTCTGTACATTTTCTAGGTCGGCAATTTCACCTGCCTTGAAAGGTGCTGTTAGAGTGCAGCAATATTCCAGCCTAGATAGAACAAGTGACTGAAGAGTGTCATCATGGGCTTGGCCTCCCTAGTTTTGAAGGTTCTCATTATCCATCCTGTCATTTTCCTAGCAGATGCGATTGATACAAGTTATGGTCCTTGAAGGTGAGTCCTCCGACATAATCACTCCCAGGTCTTTGACGTTGGTGTTTCGCTCTATTTTGTGGCCAGAATTTGTTTTGTACTCTGATGAAGATTTAATTTCCTCATGTTTACCATATCTGAGTAATTGAAATTTCTCATCGTTGAACTTCATATTGTTTTCTGCAGCCCACTGAAAGATTTGGTTGATGTCGCCTGGAGCCTTGCAGTGTCTGCAATGGAAGACACTGTCATGCAGATTCGGGTGTCATCTGCAAAGGAAGACACGGTGCTGTGGCTGACATCCTTGTCTATGTCGGATATGAGGATGAGGAACAAGATGGGAGCTAGTACTGTGCCTTGTGGAACAGAGCTTTTCACCGTAGCTGCCTCGGACTTTACTCTGTTGACGACTACTCTCTGTGTTCTGTTAGTGAGGAAATTATAGATCCATCGACCGACTTTTCCTGTTATTCCTTTAGCGCGCATTTTGTGCGCTATTACGCCATGGTCACACTTGTCGAAGGCTTTTGCAAAGTCTGTATATATTACATCTGCATTCTTTTTGCCCTTCTAGTGCATTTAGGCCCTTTGTCGTAGTGATCCAGTAGTTGAGACAGACAGGAGCGACCTGTTCTAAACCCATGTTGCCCTGGGTTGTGTAACTGATGGGTTTCTAGATGGGTGGTGATCTTGCTTCTTAGGACCCTTTCAAAGATTTTTATGATATGGGATGTTAGTGCTATTGGTCTGTAGTTCTTTGCTGTTGCTTTACTGCCCCCTTTGTGGAGTGGGGCTATGTCTGTTGTTTTTAGTAACTGAGGGACGACCCCCGTGTCCATGCTCCTCTCATAGGATGGAAAAGGCTCGTGATAGGGGCTTTGCAGTTCTGATGACACAGAGTTCCATGAGTCTGGCCCTGGGGCAGGAGTGCATGGGCATTGTCATTTATCGCTGTTCGAAGTCATTTGGACGTCAGGATAACATCGAGAGGCTTGTGTTAATCAAATTTTGTGGTCTCTCATAAAAAATTCATTTTGATCTTCGACTTCAGTCTGGTTAGCGGCTCTTGCTTTAAAAAACTGAGTCATATTGGAACTTGAGTAGCTCATCATTTCATTGCTGGTCATCTGTGTAGGACCCATCTTGTTTATGTAGGGGCCAATACTGGGCGTTGTTCTCGATTTTGAATTTGGCTTTTTCATAGGAGAAGAAAATACTTTGGGTTTTTTCGATTTCATTTATAGCTTTTAGTTCTTCCCGCGATTCCTGGACTCCTAAGGATACTTTTAGCTTAGTTCGATGCTTGGCTGCTAATGTCTCTGACCAGGTGTCTCCTGGCAATTCAGATATAGTGACCTCTTTTAGCCGCTCTGTTTATTCTTTTCGTCGCCTGTAAAGGGAGGCGCCTGTCTCTTTCTATTTTACTAATCTACTCCTCCTTTTCTTAGAGGAATAAGCCTTGTGCATACATCGAGTGCCACCGTGTTTAATCTGTTCTAGGCATAAGTTTGGGTCTGTGTTGCTTAGTATATATCTTCCAGCTTATATCGGTTAGGACTTGGTTTA